TATATATATAAAATATTTTACACCTATGGTGTAAAATATCCGGAGTTTAAACTTGAATCTATAGCATCATCTTGCTTTAGCATAACCAAGATCTTAAATGCGTGAAAATTTGTGTGTTTTTCCCAAACAATCCCACCAGCTTTTTTAGCTTTTGGGGTGCTCAAAACACCCTGAATTTCTTGCTGGTTTATCATCATACCTTTTCACTTTTTGTATCAGCATGAATTTGCAAATTAAGCTGGAAGATTCTCATACACGCTAGACAACTGTAAATCTGGTTTCGAAGTGTGTGTGTGTAAACATGTCAGGAATTCAAGATCAGAATTTTGAGATACTTATATAGGCATTTGAATAAAGTGACAAGACCTAAAGATATATTCAGCATCCAGAAGCTTTCATAGACAGCAAAGAACTCTAAACAGCATTTTTGAAAATATGACTACTGGGTAAGATATCTTAAAGGAATTTGAACATTTTAGAAAATGCGCAGACCCAGATTTAGAGCAGTGAGCTCTTTCTGTGCCTAAAATATGCAGTAGCCTTTTGCTTGACTTAAAAAATTTTATTTTTTTTGTCAACTGTACAGCACTGCCGCCATGGAATTTGTGTGAGCAGAGAAATGGAGACGCGTCCTGTAGATGGAGAATGGGGACCATGGGGACCTTATAGCTCATGTTCAAGAACTTGTGGAGGTGGAATCAAGAGCACCACCAGGCTGTGTAATAGACCAGAGTATGTTTTTTTTATTGTGTTTTACATTACTGCATATTGAAGATATTATGACATAATGGATTGGTTCAAAACAAAATGAAGGTATTGTGGGTTGTGCAAACTAGCTCAAAGCACTAATTAAAAAAAAAATGCATGTTTCAGCCATGCTTGAAAAGAGAGAGAAGTCTACAGACTCTAATATGCAGAGAACTTTTACGTTACTCTTGTCTCTCAACAACATCATTCATATTTATAGATATTCCTAAAGACTTATTTTGGCAGGGTCTTTTTTTCTAGCTTTACTCTAAATGCTGAAGGTTTCTTTAAATATTGAGATGCTCTCTTTGGAGTAAAAGCTGCAAAAAGAAATAGATGTATTCCCTGGTAATCTTTTTAGTGAAACACTCGATTTGCTTTGACTTAGGGCTTTTTCATGACATTACCACCGGTAACATCCACAAGGAACACTGGTTACAGCAGAGTCATTTACAGCTTACCTCTATAATGAGAAGCTTCCATTGACTGAATAATTCAATGTGGGTTTCATTCTCTGTAATAAAAGTCAATGAGAACTTTACCCATAACTTCTCCAGAAGCAGAACCATAGCAGCAGCCTGGGTAGTTTCAGGGTTTTTCTAGAAAGTCATGTCATCTTGATATTATCAGTGGGATAAATGAACCTCAGTGAAATGACCCCAGGTTTTTTCCTTTTCTCTGATGAGTAAGACGCGGTAGACTAGATTCCCATTAGATACGTCTCTCTCAGTCTATAGTAACTGATAGTATCAATATGCCATTGATACATTCTTTTTTCCCTCCCCAAGAACCTACTAATACTGAATTATTTTGTAGCAGGGTTTATATCAGTTAAGAAATGTATTTTAGACTTTACAGTAAATGGGGCATTTTCTGCAATTTTTCCTTTTTAGTTCTTTTGATCCCCAAACTAAAACTGATACTAGGACTACAGAAAAGAGTGTCAGCTCCTATCTCTGTCTTCTTTCTTTGTTACTCTGTAAAATAATAATTTCAAATTGCTGAGGGAGGTGCTGCTTCTGTAAAACTAGGGCTGTAATCTCAGCTGAATTGATAAAAGCATTAAAGTTAGTAATGCTTTTTCCCAGGCAAAATAATTATGACTATAAGAGAAATAAGAATGTAATAGTCATTAAAAAACATCAGCAGCTTGATTACCACCTACCTCAGCAGTAGTATTTTTGATGGACTTTTTATTTTCTTCCCTTTGGTATAAATGTATGCATAATGCAATAGGAGGAAA